CAGCTAGGAGTGATAGAACACTCGGATAGCCCATGGGCCTCTCCGGTAGTGCTGGTGCCGAAGCGAGACTGAACCACCCGCTTCTGCGTAGACTACCGGAAGCTTAATGACAAAACTAATTCAGATGCCTACCCTATGCCTCAAATTGACGAGCTCCTAAATAAAATGGCCAGGGGCCAGTACCTCACCACAATCGATTTGTGCAAGGGGTACTGGCAGATACCACTAGTCGAGGATGCCATCCCAAAGTCCGCATTCGTCACCCCGTTTGGCCTATACCAATTTAAGGTAATGCCATTCGGGATGAAGAATGCGCCGGCTACCTTTCAGAGGATGGTAGATCGGTTACTGGACGGATCCCAGGAGTATGCCTGCGCCTACTTAGATGATATAGCGATATTTAGCAACTCCTGGGACGAGCATTTAACTCATATAGGAGCCATCCTCAATTGCATCAGGGAGGCAGGTCTAACGTTAAAACCCAGCAAATGCCATGTAGGGATGGCTGAAGTGCAATACTTGGGCCACAGGGTAGGAAGTGGGCAGCAAAAACCAGAACCTGCCAAGATAGAAGCCATAGCTAAATGGCCGACCCCTCGCACGAAAACCCAGGTCCTAGCCTTTTTAGGGACCGCCGGTTATTACCGTAAATTTGTGCCCAATTATAGTTGTGATGGTCGTAGAAAATATCCCCGTCAAGCATTCCCTTCTTCCCATAAAAGAAAAGCACTCAATATTCCATAAGCAGAAATATCCCTGGAATCACAGAATAATCCACACATGAGCCAAAACTTAATGCTGGAACAAGACTTGACTTACTGGCACACAGAACTCACAATTTATGCAACACAAAACTCCTCCTGTAGGCCAGGCTAGATAATTGAGTTTCTACAATACACAAAGCTCAATTATCTGCTGGCCAGAAACATTACAATTTATAACAATTTCAGAAACATACTTTTTATAAGACATACAAATATACTTTTGACATCCCTGGGTAGCTGAGGATACTGGTAGTCACATATCCAAATCTCACGAATTTCCGTTCGGTAGTTTCCGTGTCGCATCGTGTGGAAGTTTGACCGTCTCGCCATGTGGAGGTATCCAAGCTAGAGTTCCATAGAATCAGTAGCAAGAGCCGGTCTCCGTTCGCATCTAACTACACGAAAACCACCGTTCGTATGGTTCAGCTGGTTACCTGTGAATGTTCCCCTCATTCGGTAGATACTATTGTGATCCTTGTCAGCAGGTAGCACGGTCCTCTAGGGCAAAAACATGCACAGTCTTTTAATGCAACTTCATTCCAGGCACTTTACTTGTAAGTTTACATTTGAGGCAGCAGCAAATGAAAACATAAATATAACAGGTTTCCCTTTAAACAAAAATCTAGCTCGTCTGAGCACTGACTCACTTTGAATAACCCTCTCTATCAGGGTTAAACTAACAAAACATATTGCACCAACCTTATTAGATAGCAACACTCTGCTAGCTAGCCTGTTGCTTTTCTTTCTCCACTCCCAGTGCTCCAAGCCAGCCTGGCCCTGACTGCTTTCCTTTCTGCACTCCCAGTGCTCCAAGCCAGCCTTGACTGCTTCCTCCTGCACTCCCAGTGCTCCAAGCCAGCCTTGACTGCTTCCTTTCTGCACTCCCAGTGCCTAGTCTCCTTGACTCTCTATCTGGAGAGAACAGCCTCTCTCGTACCTGCTTCCCGGGAGGAAGCCAGCAATTCCCCCTCTTTACCTGCCTAGCAGGGAGGGGTTTATTCCCACTGCAACAGCTGATTAACTGCAGCTGAGCAGTGGGTTAGAGACGGTCCAAAAAACCCTGGCCTGAATCTATGTCTCCCCAGAAAACCACTAAACTGTGGAGTGGAGCATTGGCCCACCCTTCTCTCCAAATGCTCCACCCCAGGGGCCCATAACTAAACAAAGCTTTGTGTGCAACACACAAACTACACGTACTTCCCCTGGGGTTAAAAGGCCTATCTGCCTTCACTTTATCACATATCCTCCCCCCCAGCTCAGACCCATCGGGTCGAGCGGCCTTAGAACACAAACCACGAACATTCACGTCACCTAGGGCTGTACCAGCCCTGACTTGCTCCTCAGTTACAGGAAGTGGCCTATTGTAGATGGCTGCTACCTTGCTCCCTTGTAGTTTAAGGAACCCCCACCCAATTGGATAACCCAAATAGTTAGCTGCCTCAAATCCTAGATAACAATTAGTCGGACCGGCAGCCCTTACATTATTCACGACTAACTGGACCTTCATCAGGTGTGCATCCAAGTCCACCTTGTGAATCGCCACATCACCAAGGTAGGCAGCTGCATTCTCTCTGTGGGGCCAAAGTTTCCTATTTATATGCGGAAAGGGGGCTGGTGCACTATGCAACCTGAATGGCAGTACTTTATGTTGCCATAACCCCTTGGGAGTAGAAAACGCTGTCCTTCCCTTTGCTTTCTCTGTCAGGGGAACCTGCCAATACCTTATGACCAGGTCCTGCCAATACCTTATGACCTGGCCTTACTTATACGCTCTTGCGTTTGAGCTACATGTACTACAGGGCATTTAACTTTTACAACCTCTGTGACAAACTCTACCTCTGCCATGGGGTATGTGCGGGTGTCACCATGTGTACCCACAATATCAATCACTTGTCTTATATCACATTTTTCTAGCTGGAGCAGAACACTTTTCAAAGTAGCCTCACTCCCTGAATTAATTAGTGCTTGTGCACTCTTCCCTACCACCATCACCACTTTTAGCTGTGCTTTAACACCACCACCAGTCACCATACACATCTTTAAGCAAGTCAATACAATCCTATACAGAGCCCTTATTACTATGTCACATTGTATTGTCTCTTCCCTCTCAGGACAGCTATATGTAATATGTCCTTGCATGTGGCAGTTGAAGCAGTTTTTCTCAGTCTGGTCTCGTAGCCAAAATGGGACTTTTAGGTACGTTCTACCATCATAGGTATATTGTCCCAGACTTTGTCCTTGCTTTCCAGTTTCTCCGTTTATCTGGTTGCTAGCGGATCTAGGCTGAGGATCAGTACTGTGTGGCTCCTTAGTAGCCAAGTTCCTTTGAATCATCATCTGCTTCCACATCCACAGCAGCTTCTGGTTTGATAGTCTCTCAATGTCCGAGTTACTTTCAAACAGGCCCGGACTGGCCATCGGGCACACCGGGCAAATGCCAGCCCTGCAGTAGTCTACAGCGGGCCGGTGGGGAGATCAGAGATCTCCCTCGACGGCCTACATGCAGGATAGTGCGGCCGCCGGAGGAGAGAGGGAGGGAGCCAACCTGCCAGCAGAGGAACCCGGCGGAGCTTTAACTTACAGCTCCGCCGGGTTCTTCTCCCTGACACTCACAGCACACACACTGCACCCCTGCCACTCACAGCACCCTCACACACACACACACACACACTGCACCCCTGACACGCACAGCGCACACACTGCACCCCTGACACTCAAAGCACCCTCACACACACACACACACTGCACGTCTGACACAGCACAAACAAAATGCACCCCTAACACTCAGAGCACCCTCACACACACACACAGCACACACATTGCACCCCTGACACTCTCAGCACCCTCACACACACACTGCACCCCTGACACTCACAGCACACACAAAATGCACCCCTGACACTCACAGCACACACACACACACACACACACTGCACCCATGACACTCACAGCACCCTCACTCACACACTGCATGTCTGACACTCACAGCACACACAAAATGCACCCCTAACACTCACAGCACCCTCACACACACACACAATGCACCCCTGACACGCATAGCACATACACTGCACCCCTGACACTCACAGCACCCTCACACACACACTGCACCCCTGACACGCACATTACACACCCTCACTCACACACACTGCACCCCTGACACTCACAGCTTCCTCGCATGCATACACTGCACCCTCACACACAGCGCGCACACACACACACTGCACCCATCACACACACAGCACCCATCACACACATAGCACCCTCACGCAAACACAGCACCCATCACTCACACACACACTGCACCCCTCTCTCACACACACACTACACCCCTTACACACACACAGAGCACCCTCACACACACTGCGCAATATGCTTTCCTGGCATTTTTGTCTCCTGGTATCCCAACTATGGAGACACCAGAGACAAATTTCAAGCAAACACAGTGCAAGCATGTTATTAAATTTGCTTGCGCTGTGGAGAACAAATACAGGGTATTTTTCTCATGCCAGAGCTCTTCAGCAGAGCTCTGCACATGGTCTACCCTGGAAGAGCATTGAACCAACATGCTCACTTTGTGATGGGGCGTGCTTGTCATTGGTGATGACAAAACACACCCTATCTGGCCCTGCCCCCTTTTTAGTGGGCCGCTGTAATTAAAAAATGCCCGGGCCGAATTTTCTTCCCAGTCCGGCCCTGCTTTTAATCGCAAACTTTACAAAAGTTTTGCATGTAACTAACTTTTCTATATCACTTATATGTCCAGTTCTTTCATAAGACGAATTTGCTGGGTGCTCAACCTCTTCAAGACCTGGTTCTGTCA